AGCTCCTGCCTCTGATCCTGGGGCCACATATAGCCGTCACAAGTAGTAGTTATTGATGGGTTGCTATCTTCAAGGCTAGGCATGCAATGTGAACCCAGATGAATTTCCCCAGACCAAAAGCCACCCTAACAACCCATGGCTTGTCATATGGGTTATTCTATCTATGATGGATTGTCATGTCATCTGAAGCTAGATGACTGCAACCTCCATAGGAAGGGGCAATTAACTGGTGAGCCCAGTGGCAACAGTGCAGGCAAGTGCCAGTGCAATGCTTGGGGGAGGCTGGCAATGACTTCCCCTCTCCCTACCACAAGCCATTTTGGATCCTCCATGGCTTTTTTTCCCATCTATCTATCTATCTATCTATCTATCTATTAGGAGATTGTGATAGTCAGCTGCCAAGCTGCCTTTCATGATCCCTGTTTTAACTACAACCAATTCCTTCAAAGTGCCCCAACAGCATGTTTGAGGGGCTTGCCTGTGGCCACCAAACTTTTTTTTTAATTGTGCAAAAATGAGTGCAAAAGAATAGCTTTTAATTATTTTTTAATCTGCAGCTGCACAATATGACCAGAGTGAATTGTCATGACATGCGACATTTCTAGTAAGTGAAAACTGGCCTTAGGCAGTTCCTTAGATATGTATTTTATATATTTTCCCATTTTATCCAAGATGGTGATCTGGTGGCTGGGTTCATTTTCACTCATATCGAGATAATTTCAGAGCTACTCAGATAACTTCATACACTGAGATCACTGGAAGAACAGGTGGGATGTGATTCTAAGAAAAATGACTTTTCATTGGTGCCACTTTGGGGCCCAAATGGTCAGAAGCAAGTGCTGCAAAAATTCAGCCCCAATTCTCTTGGGGGCAAATTTAAAGACCTAGCTGCGAACAAAAAGAAGGCCTTCTCAGGTGCTGTGCAGTGGTGCCTTTGCAAGACATCTCGGCCAGGCACCCGGGCCGGCTCTGCTACCATGCACCTGCACAAAAGCACACGCAAGAGGGGCACAATCAGCCCCACATCATACCGCAATGAGTCTTATCCATCCTGCAGGGAGCCCTGTGGAGACCACGCTTTGTCTGTCTCCAGATAAGCAGGGACCTGAAGTTGAAAGGACAGACTTGAAAATGAGCGGCTGCTGTTTATGCAAATGCAGGCTTTAAAAAGGAAGGAAGAAAGCAAACTGTCTGTGGCTCAGATCTTTCTCTCCTTTGTTGACCAGCCAGGGCTTCCTGCTCAAGATGCCCCTCCTGCTGCCGGGCTCTGCATGGTTGGAGAATACTTGTTTGAATAAGCAGTGCAGCCTGTTGGGCGAGAGAAAATGCAGGTAACAAAAGGGATGGCATTCACCCCGCGGGGGAAAAAGAGAGAGACCGGCTTTGGACTCAGGGAAAATTAAGCGTGAAGAGAAGGCTGTTTGCCTACAATCTAAAAGTGGTATGTTGCAAACCAGAGGCACCCACGTTTCTGTAATTTCCCCTGCGTGCATGCAAGTAGGAGCACACACACAAACACGCGCGCATGCATTCTAGAAGAAGCCAGAGCTGTTCTGCTGATTTATGAGAGCGCCAAAATACATGAAGGGAAATTAAATCCCAAGCACTCTGCACTTGCACAGGCATAATAATTAGCGATGCCAACCCGGTACCTGGATGAATTGCAACTGATTCAATCATGCTTATCTTGGTATGGGGCTAAATGGAGGCTTGCAGCTTTTTCTTAAATGCAGCCTGTGGTTCTGTGCAGCATTTCTCTCTGTTCTGTTCAGATCCCTCGAAGTCATTTCTGCTTTTCTCCCCCGGCTCTCCGCAACACCACAAGCAGACGCTCTACCAAAGCTATCTCTGGATAAGGACCAAATTTGCAGGTGCAGCTTCAGTGGGGAGGGCAGAGGAGCCCTTCCCCAAATCCGTCCGTCCATCCATCCATCTATCTTTCCATCCACTCTTCCATCCCTCCCTCCATCCCTCTCTTCTCCAGGAAGGCAAAGGGAGGGAGGGAGGGAGGCGGCGGGAAGCAGACAAGAGCCACAGCTTGGATGCCCCTGCCTGTGTTATTGTATCCATTTTCCAATGGCAGCGATGTGTGAAATGAAAATTGGACAGAGCTGGCTGCTCACAGACCTGGAATTTCATACAGGCTAGTCGGGGAAGGGTGTGGGGCGAGGCGCGGAGACGCGGGGCTGGCGGGGGCAGGGGAGGCTGCTGCACGGCCGTGCGCTCCCGCAGCCCGGGCAAATCCTGCCTCGGCTTAACAGAGCCTTGCAGCGGCAGTGCTGGGCGTGCTGCGCTCATTTACATTCCATTACTCGGGGCGCTCGGCGAGCTCATCCCCATCGCCGTGGAGACAAGTTACGGGAGCAGAGAAGCTGAAGGCGCCCGGGAGCCTCTGGCGCCCCCGGCACACGCGCGCCTTAAGCTACGTCGCATTCTAGCGCCCTGCCTGCCTCTGCGCAAACATCTCACGGTAGCTGCGCTCAGGATCGCCTGCCCTCGCACGTGACCGACCCTCGGCCTCGTGCGCGCCGTGCACGCGGCAGCTCCGTCACCCCCGCCCTGGCTGCCCCTCTCGCGAGCTGTGGGGCGCTGTGGGGCCGGGGCAGGGACGAGGGGGTGCCTGCGACCCACGGACAATGGCTGTCCTGCCACACCCGAGGGGCTGGCGGAGTTGGGACAGGCCTCTGATCCAGGCAGGCTCCTCCTCTTTCCTGCCCTCAGGCAGGCTTCTCCTCCTGCCGCAGCATCACCAAATATTCTTTTCAGCTGCTTCCAGCGCCATCATTCGTCACTGCTGTGATGCCACCCGTGCGGATGACTTTAAGAGAGCTTTGCATGAATTTGCAGGGAGAAGGGGATCCATGGCTGCTAGTCCGCAGAACTATTGGCTGCCTCCAGCACAGAGGCAGGATACGCCGACACACTCCAGCCCCTGGGGAAGCCAAGCTGGAAGGTGCTTCCACACCAGTGCCCCGCTTCTGGGTTTCCCACACCCATAGTGTGCCAGACTGGATGGACTGAGCCCAGATCTGAGCCAGCAGCTCACTTCTTAGCTCATAATGACAAAGGCCCTTTTGGGCTGTCATAATAAGCCAGGAATCCTAAGTAAATGAACCACAGTGCTCCCATGTCACCTCCCCCACACCCCACTTCATTCAATCACGTAAATAACCCACTGGGAAAGGACAGCATCTTAACCACAATCCTGGGCTAGGATGTCATGCAAAACTATTCCTTCCTGTTTTGTTTAGAGGAAGGCAAAGCAGGAGTGAGCAGGTACCAGCACAGTGCTTGTTTACATTGTGGTTTCTTAAGCCAGGATTCCTGGCTTAATGTGATGCCTCACTGTGGATGAACTCTCACTATCAGAACCTCTGCTTTTAGAAGATTTCTTAACAAATTTCCTGGTGCGATCTATGAAGGAAAAGGGTGAGCATCTCAAGAGCAGCTGACTATAGCATGTGCTCAACATTCAGAGACCAAAATACTGAGAAAAGTAGTTAGTTGTCATCCACACTTCTCCTGGAAAGCTGAGCAAAGGCAGATTAATGGAACTTCACCCATTTCTGCCAAACAGTCAGGCAGACACGAGTATTATTTTTTTTGACACGAGACTGTGAGGGCCCATTTGGACCATCGTTTCTTTGCAAATGCATAAATTCAGATGTTACCCATCTGTTGCAGGGGATCCAAATGTGTTCTCCCCTGTGCCAGTAGCCCCTTTCATGGCATTTTTCTAGTACTCCAACTGTAAGACGTTGTTCCTGGGAAAATGCAGTGTGCCCTCTCCATCCTCGCCCTGTCATTGCCAACGCAATCACTGTCCTGAAGGCGGTCGCCTGGTGTCAAAGATGCCCTTCAATGCAACTGTATTCCCCCACTCTCTCAGCTCACATCTTCACTCTGTGACCTTTCCCCCTCCATGCTTTCCTGCTTGATGAGCTACGGTGCTCACCCACACCTGTGCCATGATTTAGCACTGATTTATGTCAGCCTCGCCTCCCTTCCGGGTTCTTCCAGTGTCTCTGAATTCCTACTTAGATGCACTGCATCAAAGAACCCTGTGACTGTTTCCTAAGTGAAAAGGAGGTGAACCAGCCCTTCCTCCATGGCAAGCTTCCCCCTCCCGCCCCGAGTGACTACAGCTTCTGTAGCAGAAGGCAGCCTGGAACTCTCCCCAGTGTTTTGGACCGCAACTCCCAAAAGCCTCAGCCACCATGGCCAATTATAAAATGTGCCGTCCTGGTATCAGATTTTCAGGGAATACAAGGCAACTGGAAGATGTTGGGATACCAACAGACTGATCATCTAGATAAATGTTAATACTGCATACTATTTGACATAAGGTTCTTCTGGACAGTGTGGTTTCCTAGCATACTAATTAAAAGACCTTGTGCTGTTTTTTCCACCCGTTCTTCTTTAATGGATTTCCTTCCAGTAAGAGAAAAGAGGAAAGCAGTGATAACAAACTACAGAAAGGCTACAAATGGAGGATGAGGTTGTCTGTACCCCACCATGAAATCCCATGATTGATGTGGGGCAATTGCATAATTACCTCATCTCATAAAGTCTCTTGCCTCCTTAGCAAGGTACACAATGCCATTGAAGCTATAGCAGCATTTAACCCAACCTGGCCAGTGCCACAATGAGAGAGTTCCTGGAAGCTCCAAAAAGGCTATGTTTGATTTCCCCAAGAAAGAACAAGGTAGCAGTGGGGGCCAAATCCATGTGGTTTGCATGAATGCACAGCAAAAATGCACACACATTTTCATGCAAACTTAAAAAAAACCTCAGCATTTGGGATAAGCTGAACTATCCATCCCCAGACCAAGATATCATTGTAGTAAAGACCTACATTTGTGCTGAACCATAACATTTGTGCTTGACTGTACATTTTTGATGCAAGCACATTGGAAGCATTTCTAAGGCTACAGTATGCTATTGTTCCTGGCGTATTTCATCTTGTGCCCACCTGGTTTAGTCTGGCACTTTCCACTTACCATGGCCTTCGTCGGACATCATACAGGTCAATCTTATTCGGTGCTCTCCAAGGTGTCGCTGCAATGACATGAAAGAGATATTTTTCTTCACAATTTTTTTTAAAATGCAATTAACAAGATAACAGCAGGAAAAAGAACTTACACCATAATAAATCAAGATCACCAAAGAAACAAAGGAATTTGCTAGTTAAACTTTGCATGTAACCGCTATATTTACAGAATCTCTACAGTAAACTGCCTAAGTTCACTGGGGCTCAAGTGCTCAGTCAAATGCACACTTGATGTAGACATTCCATACCCAATGAAAGGTTAAAAATACAAGTTAAACTGCATATAGAACAAGTGTGTGTGTAAGTATATGATTTTGTGTGAGTACATGCACTAGTCTGAGAAAATATTTTGTAGGTGCAGAAGATGTTGATACAAACGTTTATGGGATTTACCTGTCAAGAGCTGGACTTCTGTTCTGCCACCCCCTGGATGGCCCAGAACACCATCCTCAGGTCAGGCTGAGAAAGAATGACTTGCCCAAAGCAGGTATGTGATCTCTAGAGGCAGGTTCATTAGATCCCATCACTAAGCCCTTCCTGCCCTGGTGGGATGCTATTCTCAGAGGTGTCCAATATTACCCCAGTGGCCCCGCTCAAAAACTGTCATGGAAAACATTCTTCCGGAAGGGTGGTCAGAATCAGAAGGCTCTTCCCTCATCTGCAAATGGGGTCCTATCCAGGGTTGGCCTTACATGGTTATTGTACAGATGCATGCAATAAAGGCAGTAAAGAATGGAGCACATTGAAAATGCTTCACTGCTGGTGGGTAAGAGGGAAGGAGCTGAGGAAACAAGGGAACTGAAGGCAGCCACAACACCGATCCAGAATGGCGTGAAGATAGGCAGAGAGATAGAAAAGGAAAGAGAGCAAAGGGATGAGGACAGAAAGGAAATCAAGGGATGCTCTGCCAAGCTGCACTCAGCCGAAGCCTCAAGTGCAAATAGCCGGGCGTCTGCTTCGAGGACGGCATCAGCGCCCCCTGCTGGGCACCCTCCTGCTCAGCAGCTCCTCCCTAGCGGCTACAGCGACAGGGAGACAGTGGCAGCAGGGGCATTTGAATGCATTGGGGACCTGCCTGGGTTTAGGGAAAACATTCTCAGGTGTCCTTTGCTTTTCCAAAATCAAATACCCTTCTTCAGGGGCCACCGACAGCCTGCAAGAATACTCTCAGTCGCAGGATCTCACGGTGCTTCTCTCCTGCTCATTTAGTGCATCTCCATGTCTTTCGCTTTCATTTGTCTCTAGGAGAGCCACCGCTTTATTCCCCCAATTCCTGCTGCAGTGGCACTGCAGGACATAAATGGCAGCTCTGCAGACCCTCGCCAGATAGTCAGTGCACCAGAACCTTGGTTTTGTTTTTCTGAAGGGGGATGAGGAAAAAGAAGTGAAAGGGGAACCTCGGGCAGGCAGGCACCAGCTGAGAGGCCCTGGCAGCTGCATAAGGATGCCAGGTGCCCATGCTGCTCTCTGGTGGTTTATGTTAGTTCAGCTCTTAGTGTCAGCAACACGCTCAGCTTGTTGGTGGACAAGGCAAAGACCAATTATGGCACAAACCACCATAATGTTTGCCAGCTGGACCATCCTGTGAAATCCCAGACAGAAAGAGAAGGCAGGAAAGGAAGGGATGTGTAGTTATCACTAACTTCCCTCTTAAGATGCCCATGGCAGTGGTAATACAGCCTGAAGAGGACCGCTCGTTCAGGACAATGGCACAGGATGAGAGGAAAGGAGATTTACAGGGAATTATGCTGCTGACCCTCCAAATCAGGCATGCCTTTAAATATGTAGCACTGCTCAAACCCACAGCTGTTTATTTCCTACCTTTCACATTGGAAGGGTACAAACCTGGGTAGAAACGAGTCACTCCTGTGGCACTCCCAAAGACCTGCCACAGCAGAGATGGGTCTTCTTTCCGGTTTTCGACGAAGACATCCTCCAGGGCTTCTGTCCAATTTAGCTCGTTGAGGATTACAGTGGCTGCAACAAACGGAGATGGAATGAGGTCTGTGAGCTGCAGATTCAGGAGCAAAGGGTGGCTGTGATCCCTCTCTGCCACTTCACAAGCACAGAATGCACCCTCGGAAATACAGGGCCGAGGTGCGCTGATGAACTCCACGCACACGTCCCTGTTAGAGGAGCTGGGACACCCGAGACCTGTGGAGGAATTGCTGTGGACCCTGCATGGTGCCACGCGTTCGGCTGAGGGTCTTCGGTTCTGTCATGTGACAGGGCTGCAAAGAGAAGGTACCTGATGCGTTTATGACTATTCCCTGATTTCTCGTTTATTTATTACTGAGGTGCCCCACCTTTTTATAAAATATGCCCCAGACCATAAGCAATAGAAAATCCACAATAAAAAAGAAATGTAGCAAACAACACGCCCAATTAAACATCAAGGAAGAGCATCAAAATAGAGCCAGCTCAAGTGCATTGATCAAAATGCAGTTTAAAATGCAGAGTCATGGAGGAAACAAATCAGCTCTAGAGGTCAAGCTCCTGCTTAAGTAAATTCTGGTTTTGCCTGTGCAGCAAAAGGGGCACCAACAAGGGACATTGGGGTATCACATGCTATCACAATAACACCTTCATTTAAACCACTTACATATCCTTTTACACAAGCAGCTGGACATTTATTTAAAAACCATCACTGGGCCATATTTTTAGGAGAATTGAGCAAAATGCCACAAAAATGGACCAGCTGTCTCAATCCTCACCAGGGTAGATGGTGCAAACAGTGGGCGGGTAGGAGAAGAAACAGGAAATCCCCAAAAGTGAGTGAGATGTGATGGTCACGAGATCTGCAGTTTAGGCTGACCCAGACTCAGTGAAGGAATGAGTCCACGGAAGAGGCTGCAGCTATGACTTTATACCTGGCAATGCACTCTGGGATAGAGAAAATGCAGAAAGTCACTGCTGCAGTTTGTCTGTGAGTTATTTCCCTTTTGCTTTGGGCAAAACTCTGCTGCTGCTCCGCTCTCCCAAAACGCATTGCAAGGTGTAATGGATGCCTGTACCGCCTGGCCACCAATTCATCCTTTCAGTCCTCAACAGTACGAATACATATTAAAGATATTGCCTGGCTGTGCATCTTGCCTGTTTTCCCTCAAGGACCAGCAGGACCATCTTTGTTACTGTGTTAATTTGCAGAAGTGATAACTGAATGGCTACATGGAGGGTATGCTTCATACCATCTTAAGAGCCATAGTACTGAAAAAGCATCTTGAATAAAGTTATATGACTTCACTCTAGACTAGAAATTGATGGTATTTTATTTGTTCTGTGGTGTCAAAATGGAGGTATGTGTAAACAGAAGAAAAGCATTTACAAAATTAGATCAGAGATATATTAACAGGGAAAGGCGGACTCGATCCAGATCAGTTGCACCAGTTATTAGGGTGTTGCCCTCAATCCTATCATCCAGAGTTGAAAGTTAGTCTGGGGCTTTTTCTTTGTCCCTTGCCAATGTACACACATGATCTTACCCTGCTCCTGTCAAGCTATTTTACAGCCAGTCCCAGACCTGGATCCCCATGACTGGATGAAGCCTTTTATTGCAGATTCAAACCCTTCTGAAGAATAGAATCAGCACACCTAAACTCCTCCAGCCACCTTCAGCAGTTGGGAAAGAAATCACCTGCTTCTCCTTTAGGAACTCTGCCCAAGTTTCTCTGTTCCAAAGAGACACTAAATGGGGGCGGGGGAAGACCCTAGTGGTGTTGGGCCCCCTCTGCCTTCATGGGGACCCTCATGTCTAATGCAAAAGCAATTCTGTTGCTGGCAAACAGAAGTTTTAAATCACTCGGCTATTAAGGACAGTGATAAGCTTGGAGGAGCAGACTACAAGTACTCTACGAGAAGCCTCTCAATATGGGCACTCAAGGGGAGAGAATCAGGTGGAGAGAAATTCTTCCAAGAGATGCACCCTGAGCTGGGCTGGGGGAAGGTGGTTTTCAGAGCTCAGGTTAGGTAGAGGCAAAGGAGGTGTGAGCCCCACGGATGATCAACAGCCTCTCATATCCATTCGCCGAGGTTCATGTGTTGGCCTTCTCTTGAAGAGGATTCGGTGCATTCTAAGAATTGTCCAGAAGCACACCTGACAGGTTTCATCAGCCAAATTGTCATACTTCCTCAGCCAAGACAAGTAGACTGTAAAGGCAGGCTCAGAAATAGGTCCAAGGCATCACGGAGAAGCATCACAGTGTGTGCTATCAAATCCTGGAGTCATGCCCAAGGTGACGGATGCAAGTGACACTGTCATGCCTTTGTTGGCTCATACCAATAATAGCCCTTTTGCTGCTAGACTGTTGGAACTCTGGCCTGATTTCGCTGATGTCCTCATGCATAGTTCAGTTCAACCCTGGGGCTTTCCCGGCAGCTGTATCCATTGTTGTGAACACACATTTCTGTGATTGCAAAGGCACCCCTCTGCATGCCTGCAGAAGGGGGAAAGGATGTGACCTTCTCCCTTCAGTGCTTGGAACATGACTCAGAAGCGATGTCAGAAAGCTCAGAACCCTGCCAGAATCTTAATGCAAAACGTGGAGATGCTCCTTTCACTGGTTTGTACCATGGAGTTTATATTCAAAGCCAGGATGTGGTGACATCTATAAAGGGTGAGTATCCTGCACTATCTGACTCTGAACGTGGCTTTCAACAGTGGCTTGGGAGCTGCACATCTTAACCCAATTGGCAAAAACACACAGAGCTGGGGAAAGGCAATGGGATGGTGAGACACAGGTGGAATGCAAAGGCTTTGCCGTGAGCCCGGCTCTCCCCTTCTTGCCCATGGGCTCCACAACACCAGACAGTCTCTTTGCAAAGCAAAGCTCTACTTGCACTTCACAGCTACATGACAAAGTAACTGTAAAAGCCCTCTAGTGAACTGGAGGCAGATTTTGATGGCAGATCTGTATTTCACCCTTCTGCAGTGAGCTGGTCCCATGGATGTGGGAGGACCGTACCTTTGAAGGGCAGCCACGGTTTAAGGACTATCTAGCATCTGCACAGGTCAGGACTCATAGCTGTCAGTATGACTCAGAACCCAATCCAACTTATTATTATATTATGGATTATATTATATTATGGATTATATTGTTAATATGTTTTGAATATATCAATTTGATGTTGTTGATTATAGAATGTTGTGTTGTTTTATATTGTGAGTTGTACAGAAAGCCCAGCTATGGGCCATTGTAGCAGCATATATATTCATTAAACAAAGAAAGAAAGAAAGAAAGAAAGAAAGAAAGAAAGAAAGAAAGAAAGAAAGAAGTTTTGGCCTGACCTGGGCACACAGATCTTGCCACAGTCACCCACACTTTGGCAACCTTTCAACTGGACTTTGTAATATGCTTTACATGGGGCTGGAAACTTCAACTGGTACATAACTGGGAGATGTGACCGCTGGTGTGAGCGAGTCCGCACACCCTTATCACTCCCATACCATCCCAACTTCATTGGTTACCAGCTGAGCTCTAGGACCAATTTAATGTGCTTGTTTTAACATATAAAGCCCTAACTGGCTTGGGGCCAGAGTACTCGAAGAACTTCCTGGTCCCAGATGCACCTACCTGACATCTAGGATTGGGTTTGGAGGCCCTTCTGATGAGGCCCTCCTCCAAGGAGGGGAGGAAGATGGCAGACAGAAGAGGGGCCTTCTTGGTGGCTGTGTCCCTCCTATGCAATAACCTCCCAAAAGCAGTTTGCCTGGTGCCTTCGTTACAACCTTTTTGGCATCAGCCAAATTTTCCAGGCATTTTAATAATGGATTGTGTTCTGTGTAAATTTTAATGAAATTAATTTGATAGTGTCTTATAATTTTAACTTATATTGTTTACATTCCCATGTTAACATCTAACTCTCAGCTGTATATTGTTGTCAATTATGAATATTGTTGTGAATTGTGCATATATTTGCTTGGACAGCTTTACGTGCCATCTGAAAAGATATTCCTCTGATCCCTTTGAAATTATGCTTAAGAAGTACCACAGGAACACACACTGCTACTTCCTGAGCCAGCGCCATCCGCCACTTCCCCGTCCCAGTTCCATAAACGGCGTTCAGGTCCTCCTTCCTAATCACCTTCAGGAGCTTCCAGACTAGGGTGTTCCTGCACACCTGCCCATCTGCAGCATTTTACAGGGGACCCAGAGGCTCTCTTCTTTATAGCCCTCCCATATCTTTCCACTGCTTCTTTTATCTTTCATTTCTTCTTATCACAAGACAAACTGCTAAGGAGGGAAAGAGCAAATAGCTGCACAGCATCTTCGGTGAGTGACAGGAGTGGTGGTCCATCTCCCACCTCCCTTGCCCAGCCGGTTGTTCTTTCCCAGCCAGGGATGTTTTGCACAAACACATTGAAGCACCGTGTTGGAGTCCCTGAGCGGTGTAAACTGGAGGCATGAGATTTTTCTGGAAGTGCCCAGTAAGCGTATGAGAGCAGGCCTCCGTCAGGCCAAGAGTTCCATGATCAATATGTCATAGACCCTGCATGATCCCAAAAAGCTCTGCTGGAGCATCCAAGAGAGGCAGCACATCCTTTGCTGCCCTCAGGGCCCCTGAATATCTGCAGCCATAACCACACTGCTCAATTGCATCCACTGGGAGTTTTTCTCCCTCTGCACTCAAAGCAACTCTGACTTTGCTTCAGCTCTGGGTATACTATGGAGCAGCAAGAGCTACTCCAGGGAAGGTGCTCACACGCAATCCTGTCATGCACCTGGGCCATTCCTGTATTTCACTGATCAACCAGGTTTCTGCAGATGAGCCAGCCATATCAGCTAGAAACTTCCCCAGAGCCTTCTGGAAACCACCTGGATCCATTAGCATCTGGGAGTGAACCATCTTAACAGGTCCCTTAGTCTTGCAGAAGGGAAAAGCTGCCCTCAGGCTAAGGTTGGACCATGACAAAAGACTGATTCAAACTCCCACTCCTTCAGCACATCTTCAAGTCCATTTGAGAAAATGAAGTCTAGCAT